TCTCTCTCTCTCTCTCTCTCTCTCTCTCTCTCTCTCTCTCTCTCTGATATTGCTATAAGAGCTGTTTAGCTGTTCTTTCTGCTTTTGCCCTGCTCTTTGCCTTTCCATTGCTTACTACTCTCCTCAAAAGGCCATTTTTAAACACGGCAGTAAGAGTGATTCTCTGAAAAAAGGAAAAGAAGAAAAGGACAAATAATTCCTCATTTGCTTAAGGTCATTCGGTGACTTCCCAGATTGTTCAGTGTTAGAGCCAATAGAATCCAACCCCCCCCCATCACTACACACACTTCCTCTCCTCTGCATTGGCTATATCTTAGTCAGCTCACCTTCCCTCTTCATATCAGAGTCTCCTGACCTGCATATATTTATTTTTACTTATTATCTTTTTCATTGGTAGGAAATCTTTCATCTATTTTTCCACCACAAAAATACCCATGCTTTGAACAGTGCCTGACATTTGTAAGTGATAAATAGATATTTGTTAACTAAGGAACAAAAAAGTGGATCATGATTGCTTTAATAGCATGGCCTCAGTGGGCCCCTCATCTTTCACCCCTAAATGAGATGGACCTTTCTAAGCTTGTTAGACAACCCAAGACCCTACCTATGGGTTAGTCAGCTGGCCATTGACCCTGCTTTTTTGGGGAGAAAGACCCCTCAAGAGGTTGGGCAGACTCAGTTCCTTCCTTCAAAATTACCATGTGGACCATTCACTCTGCCCTCCTAGAGCAAGTGATAGGTGTGAGGGAAGGAAGGAAAATGACTCAGTCTGACATCCGATACTTAGCAGTGCAAAGTCAAAGAGAGGTTGCCCTCTGATACACAGCAACCTTAATTCATTAAGATTCTGGCAGACTAGGAGCATGCCTTGAATCAAGTTCATGCTCCAGAGGAAGGCCAAGACTATCATAGATGGTTTAGTGTGATCTTTAAGTACAAAAGTTGAGAATACATTCAGAGCCATGTCTTATTTTCTAATACCATTCTGTGATAAAAGAAACCATGGAAAAATGAGTGTTCTAGGGCTAGAACAGGGAATATAGAAAATGAGCCCAGAATATCCTGTAGTACCAGAAAGTAAGGAATTGCACAAAAAACAAAAGAATGGGGTGTGTTAAAGGAATTCAGGAGCAAAACTCAAATAGTGGACCACGACTGGGATGTGGCTCAGTGGTAGAACTCTTGCCTACCATGTACAAGGGCCCAGGTTTGATCCTGAGCACCACAAAAAGGAAAGGAAGGGAAGACAGAGGAAGGGATGACCAAAGCTGGAACAATTTGAGCAATAAACTAAGTAACACAGTATTAGATTATAGCTAAAAGTATAAAATAAATATCTGTAAGTGCATATAAATATAAGTGAATTAGTGAATGAGTCAGTAAATAAGTAAGGGAGAAGTGGTACATCTTCCCTACAGAAGGAAGGGTCCCACTATCCCTTAAAGGGTATCCACTATACACTCCAATGCCTAAAGACCTCCCACTAGGCCCCACCATCAATCAATAGTACCAAACTGGGGACCAAGCCTTTAACACATGGTTTTCTATATTTTATAGAAAATTATGTTTAAAATTAAAATTATAATTTTATAATTATATAAATATAATTATAAAATTAACATTATAGAAAATTAAATTTAAAAATTATAGAAAATTATTGTAAACAAAATATTTTTTGACCAGGGTAAGAGTAAAGGAAGTGGGAGGCAATGAACAGCAATTTGATACTTAGAAATTTTCAATTTCTGAAAGGAAAAGAATGGTCAGGATTAGAGTTTATAAGCATCACGAACTTCCATTTTTGCTAAGGGTGAGCATGCAAGGGATCTCTGTGACTGTTATATAATCATAGACAACATGATTCTTCTCCATAGATTCCAAGTATTCAAAAAATGATGGTTGAAAATTGTGACCAATATGTGCTGTACAGTTGTCAGATGAAATAAGTGAATCCATTCAGTGCCTTTCCTGTTTTCATCAGCTGATATTTTTTCATTTTTAGTTTGTCAAAAGTTAATTAAAGGATAGCTACTATTATGTGGAAGGAGCTGTTTCTTCAGGGGATTATAATTGGTGCCTGCCAGCTATCACTTGGTAACTGGAATATATAATCAAACCAAGATACTGTCTTGTCTGATGAAAGACCATGATCTTTTTCTAGAGTCTTTATTAGTAAATTGGCTTTCCTGGTCATTAAAAGTTTGAAATCCACAGACTGTTCACAACTTCCCAAGATAGATTTTCCTTTTTTTTTAAATTAAGTGTGGTTACTTACAGTTTCCTTGGAGTTGCAAGGATACATACTCATTAGACTAGAAGGATATGTCACTTTTTGGTCTTCTGATTGCCCTATGTGCTAATATTTTTTTTCTTCATGTAGGACCTGTTGAAAAATTGTCTTGCAAGAATGTACCTCAAGATACGGAGAGAAAACATGAGGTAGCCAGGCCATGCACTATGTGAATAATTAACATTCCAGTCTTATTGCTAATTTACTTTTGAATAATACCAGTGTTTTAAAAATGGAGAAATCTTGCTTAAATAGGAAAATCACTTGATAATTAGATGAGCATGGTACATGGTGTGTGGGAGAAGCTGAGTTCCTCAACAGTGGTTGTTCTTAAAGCCAGGTGAGGGTTTCAGTTTTTCCTTGTCATCATCACTTTAGTAGTTTTGTATCATGGGAGTGGAAACATCTTTAAAGTGGATCATTAGCAGTTGTAGATATTAACAAGTAATTTAATGCAGACGAGAACCTTGGCAAGCAGCCATGACTTTTGCAGGTGTTCCTGGTCTTTTATTTATACACCCTGTTGTTTTTTAAACTTCTTATATGGTATCATTCTAATATGATATCATGGAGGACCAAGATAAAAAGTGCAGCATACACAAAGTAGAACTATGAGTATTGTAAAAACTCTAACCATAAGTAAAATGAAAGGCTTGAGTGTAATGCTGAATCCTCAAAGACCTGAATAGCACATAAAAAGTAGGCAAGTTCATCAAAGAATGAGTGTTTTTCTTTGAGTGTCTGATTGTGTGTGTTGATAAATACCTATTGATCCATTAGAAATAAATGGGTAACTTACAGTTCACTAGTAGGATTTACAAATATATTTTGAAAAGGTGTTGTTATATAGTAATGTGGTATGCTTTCCCCTCTGTCTTAAAGAGCACTTTTCCCATGGGGCTTATGTTGTACACTTAATTCAGATGTAAATATTGCATATTAACAGGGACACAAAGTTTTAAATATTAGATTACTTATGTCCATGAGAGCTTTGTGAATCCTAGAAATTTGTGCTGATAACTAATGCCTATATCTTGAGGCAAATTCTTGCAAGAGAAATTTTCAACAGGTCCTAGGTGAGGGAAAATGTGAAACATGCTGTAGAATTGGAGGATGCCAAATAGGCCACTGAGATTTTATACTGGAAAGGAATAAAACTTGCAAAAGGAAATAATGAATCCAGAAATACAGGGGGATGGAGTTAATGGGGGGAAGAACTTTCAGAGTCAGTTTAATGCAGAAATTATCCTTTGTTGCAGCACCGGGTTCACATTCTTCATTTTTGCTCATGTCGGTCAAATATGCACAATTGGAGAACACCTTGTAGGAGCACCAATAAAATCCAAGTGGCAGCTGGGAAACCACTCCAAAGTGTGAAGAAGTTTGAAAGAGAGCAACAGGAAAGCAGGAGTTTAAAATATTTTGTTTGAAATAGGCCTCCTTTGATATTTTTTGAAAGATATCAATAAATATTTGAATTACTTCTTATTTTGATGATTGAATTAATGTTTTTTTGAATGTGACACACCAGGATGGGCTCTAGAAAAGATGTAATTGCACTTTTTCTACATTCACATACAGGATTCTAGGTTGTAGCTGAGCATCTCAGATTTATTCCAGAGTTGAAACAAGAGTATGAATTTATCACGTTGGCCTTAACTGTGAACTGTATGAGATTACAGAATGAGCAACAATAAGGTAAGAAGCATTATAATTGTTTCTCACTTACACCGAAAGGCACTATGCTGAAAATGGGGGTTGCAACTTTTCAGAGAGTGGTTTAGGGATAGGTGTTTCCATGGAGGTCCAGTCCTATGGGATATTATGACGGAATCTCTAGAACGAGGTAGCTTCAAAACTTCCTGATAAAAGTTTCATCTCAGAAGTTGGCTTAAAGCCAACCTTAATAGTAACCCAATTTGTCAAGAAGTTAGAATCATTCTTGGAAAGGCCAAGAGGGCTTTGACCAGCTGAAGGGTTCTTTCCAGCACCAGCAGCTGAGTGTGCCTCCCAGTGACCAGGCCTGGGCTGTGGGATTGCAACCAGGGAGCATAAAAGTGTGGTTGGAGCTCTGCCCTCCCAGCCACTGGTAATATGTGTGACAGCACTACAGTGGAGCCTGAGTAGAAGACCATGAGCTGTGGCTAATAAATGCCAACCAGATGCAACAATGTAAATCTAGGGAGGGAGGTGGTTGAAATCATTGGGATGTAGAGTTTATGTGATGAATGAGCTGGGCCAAGTTAGATAGAAGCAAAAAAAAAAAAAAAAAAGGTCCCTGGTCAGTGTGCTTTGTTTACATAGAGTGTTTCATTTCTTTTACTTGAAGATGTGTGACCTTCCCTTTCTGTGCTAGACTTTTAATTGTACTTTGTTTCTTTGTTCTCTTCTAGGATCCCCAAAAGAAATGCTCATTTCTCACAGTGGCTTATACCACCTGATGAAATATGAATTCGCATATTTTCCCTTCTTTTGCACAGACAGCTTGTACTGGTCACACAAGTGTGTTATCACTTTTGGAGACTTGCTAGTGACAAAAACTTCTGTAAGCAGCAAAAACAGTATTTGAAATGAATGCACCATAATTGAGGAGAAAATTCTGTAAGTCATTAGACTTGTTTTATAAACCCACAGTCACATGGAACTGTCCCACTCCTGATCCCCTCTTTCTACACAAAAATGAGTTATATGTAATCAGTCAGAAAATTCCTTCAGGACAACCGCCCTGTTTTCAAAGTGTGGTTCTCAAATTTGCAGTATCAGCCTAACCTGGGAAAATGTTGGGAATGCAGTTACTTCACATCTAGACCTGAATGGGAAACTTTGGGTTAGAGCCTGACAATCTAAGTATTAATGAATCATTCAGGTGATTCTGAGTGCTACTCTGTGTGGAAAGCTAATTTTTGGAAAGTGGCTACAAAGGTCCTCCTAGAAAGATCATTTTGTCTAATTTCTAACAGTTCAATTTAAAAATTGACATTTTGTATTTCTCATAGAATGAACAGTTTAATTTCTTCAGCAATTTGGTTTAGAAATAAAATGAAGATGTTTTCCCACAAGTTTAATATTTCAATGATTTTTATTATGTAGTATAAATGCCTTATCTATTTCTTAAAATGACTATAATTCAAACACAGATAATGAATGCTTTAGAGTACTATAACAAATTGGATAATAACAATGATTTAATAAAAGGCTATCAAACTGTAGGAAGAAAAACCTGCTGATTAATTTCAATTTTCTAAAAAATCATGTTGATTTAAAAGAAACTATGGTCATATCTAAAATCTCCAAATGCCATAGTTAATCCATGCCTAGTTTATATACTTTCTCATAGGAAGAATTAGAAACATACAGGGAGTTTTATCTAGAAAAACTGTAGTGTTTAAAGATTAGCAACATATTGCCTATTTTCTAGTGAAATTGTGACTGTCTGGCCATGAACATAAAATATGTAAGAAGTTTTTTTTTTCCATAATACACCAATTTTTGTATATACACACAATCTCAGTGTATCTAAGTAATCTAATTGATATTCATTTGATAAATTTTTTCTTTAAACTTTATTGAAGTATAATTCACAAAATAATAGTGCACCCATTTAAAGGATATGATTTGGTGGGCTTTGCAAGCTACACTCATTAACCTGTCATCATAGTCAAGATATACAATCTCTCTAATACTCCACTAAATTTACTTTGCAGTCCATCATTGCATTATCCACCCCTAGTCTCAGGCAACTTTTTGTTTCTATGGATTAATTAGAATTCTATATAAGTGGAATTATAATAGTATGTACTCTTGTATCTGACTTCTTTAACTCAACATGATTTTTTCCCACTTTTTTATGAGTGTGTTATAGTTGTACATAATGATGGATTTGTTGTTACACTTTCATACACGCACACACTATAATAATATAAGTTGACCAGTAACACTCCCCAGTACCTTCCCTTCTCTCCCCTCATCCCACCCTTTTGTCCCTTCCCTCTACTAATCTCCCTTTGATTTTCATGAGATCTACTCCTGTCTTTCTTTTCCTTTTTCCTCTCTGGCTTCCAAATATGAGAGAAAATATATGACCCTTGACCTTCTGAGTTTGACTTATCTTGTTTAATATAATGGTCGCTATTTCTCCCCATTTTTCTGTAAATGTCATTTCATTTTTTTATGGCTGAATTAAATTACTCTGTCTCCTCTTTCTCTCTCTCTCTTTCTCTCTCTCTCTCTCTCTCTCTCTCTCTATATATATATATATATATATATGTGTGTGTGTGTGTGTGTGTGTGTGTGTACTTATGTATATATACTTATGTATGTACATATGTACTTATATATACATGTATATATTTGTACATATATATTCTCATATATATATATATATAGATAAATAGATAGATAGATTAGATAGATAGATCACATTTTCTTTATCTATTTGTTCATTGATGGACTCCTCAGCTGATTTCAGAGTTTGGCTATTATGAATTGTGGTGCTATAAACAGGGATATGCGTGTATCACTGTAGTATGGTGACTTTAATTCTTCAGGATAAATATTGAGGAGTGATACAGCTGGGTCATATGGTGATTCCATGTCTAGTCTTTTGAGGAATCTCAATATGGATTTCTACAGTGGTTGTATTAATTTATAATCCCACCAACAGTATTAAAAGGTTCATTTTTCTCCACATCCTCTTCATCATTTATTATTATTTGTATTTTTTGGTGACTGCCATTCTGACTGGTGTGAAATGAAATCAGTGTAGTTTTGATTTGTATTTACTTAATTGCTAATGATGTTGAACATTTTTTTCATGTATTTGTTAGCAGTTTGTATTTCTTCTTTTGCTAAATGTCTGTTTAATTTATTTGCCCATTTTTAATTGGGTTATTTGATTTTTTGGTGTAAAATTTGAGTTCTTTAAATATTCTAGATATTAATTCTCTGTCAGAAGAGTACCTAGCAAAAATTTTCTCCTATTTTGTGGGTTCTTCCTGTATATTCCTCCTTGTTTCCTTTGCTGAAGCTTTTTAGTGTGATGCCATCCTATTTATTAACACTTGGCATTATTTCCTGAGCATTAGGAGTTCCATTGAGCAAGTCATTGCCTGTAACTATTAGCTGGAGTATTATCTCTATATTTTTTTCTAGGGGTTGCAATATTTGCTCTAATTCCTGAGTCTTTGATCCATCTTGAATTGATTTTTGTGTAGTGTGAGAGATGAGGGTCTAGTGTCATTCTTCTACATATGGATATCCAGTTTTCCCAGCCTCTTTGTTAAAAAAAAAAGTCTTACTTTTATACAATATGTTTTGGGCATATTTTTCAAGGATCAAATGACTATAGATATGTGAGTTTGTCTCTGTGTCTTCTCTTCTGTGTCACTGGTCTGTATGTCTGTTTTAATGTCAATACCATGCAGTTTTTGTTACTATAGCTGTGTAGTATAATTTGGAATCAGGTATTATGATGCCTATCTAACTTTGCTTTTTTGGCTCAAAATTGCTTTGGCTACTCTGGGTCTCTTATTCTTCCAAATGAATTTTAGGATTTTTTTCTAGTTCTGTGAAGAATGTCCTTAGTATTTTGTTATTGTATTGAATCTGTATATTGCTTTTGGTAGTATGGCCATTTTAATGATATTAATTCTGCCTAAGCGTGAACATGGGAGGTATTTCCACCTTTTGAGTCATCATAATGATTTTGAGATTCATTTATTTTGTTGCATATACTACTAAGTAATTCCTTTTCATTGCTAAGTAGGCTTCCATGGTGGACTACATTTTGTGGATGGACTACATTTTGTTCATCTATTGATTTGTTGATAGACTTCTTGGATTGTTTTAATTTGGGGCTATTACAAACAACAGTGTAATAAACATTAATGTTCAAGTCTTTTGTAGACATATGTTTTTATCTTGGGTAAATCCTTAGTTAGAGAGTGGCTGGGCCATATGCTACATGTAAAACTGTGAATATTTTAAAAAATTCCCTATTTCTAGAACTGTTATACAATTTATATTCTCATCATCAATGTATGTCTACATCATCATGTTGGTCTACATCCTTACCAACACTTGCTATCATTAATCTTTCTATTTTTGATGTGCATGTAGTGATATTTCATAGTGTATTTATTTTTTATTTTCCTAATGACTAATGATGTGTGCTTTTATGTTCTTGCTGACCATTCATATATCTTCTTTTGAAAAATGTCTCTTCAAATACCTTTCTTTTTCTTTCTTTTTTTATTTGTATTTATTAAGTTATCATATATTCTGGATATAAGTCCTTTATCTGCAAATACTTTCTTCAAATCTGGCTTCTCTTTTCATTTTCTTAATGGTGTCTTTCAATTTTAATTTATTATTGTGCCAAAATCTGTGTCCTGTGAGGAATGGTTTACTTTCAGTTGACCCTTACCCTAGAGATCAGCTCAAACCCATGGGTAGTTGCTTTGGATCCGCATCCTTGAAGGACCTGGATTGTGTCT